GAAAGCAACAAGGGGGCGGAAGGAATGCAAGCTGTATTCACTTGCTTGATCAGTGCTGAAAACCTAGCGCATGCTTTGACAGCGGCAGGAGCCATGTTCACCAAGCCCCATAGCAGCCATAGCACATCAAAGCCACGGTGCTAACGTATCTTGGTAGATGTCCAATAAGAACCTCAAAAAGTGCAGTTCTCCACTTTGGGCCCTGGGCGAGTTGGCAACGATCGGGGACATGGCAGCCTGGAGGTAAGAGACTGGCGCCTGCTTAGCCGAGGTCTGCCCCTCGGCGGCCTTGTCACAAATGTTTAGGGGTTTAGGGCTTTAGGGCTTTGGGGGTTTAGGGGTGTGGGGTTTATGTTCATGGCACTTTGAGAGCCAACGCGGAGACAGGTTTGCAGTCAGCAACACAATCAAGAGCCGTCTTGACGCTCTGGCAGGAGGAACCTGTCAAGAAGGGGCACAGGAGAGTGCGTCTGAAACTTTCGGGAAGTCAGGATAGCGCAATGGCTTCTGCGTCGCTGTAACAGGCAACACAGGAGTGGTCGAACTTGCAAGTGGATCACTTGGTCACGTCTCGTTAATCATGATGGCATTCTTGTGTCTTGACTCAAGCTGGGCGAGGTTACACTTTCAGTCGGCAGCTCGGAATACAGTCCAGGGCCGTTCGACCCTGACAGCTCGTCACCTTTACATCAGGTGTCATAAGATCCTCACCAAGCTCTACAAGGAATGCCGGCGTGAGCACAGCCCACAGCAGTGCTTGTCAGCAGAGGTCTAAGATCTGACGACCGTATTTCAGACATTGCCACAAGCGTTGCTTTGTAAGCCATCGCTGGACAGGCGAGGGGAGGACATGTTGACCGGATCTCAGGGACGACATTTCAGGTGCTCTTCGCCTGCCCAGCCAAGCGATCCGAATACTATTTAATCGGCGTTTGCCGATGTGCACTTCACCGAGAGCTTTGGCTTAAGACTGGTTGACGCTCAAGCCTGAGAATCTGGGGAGACGTCATGTAGCAAGAACCCGAGATGGTCACGAGTTCAATACTAGGTGTGCGTTCGATCCAACGTGTTCTGCTGGATCACGCAGCGCCGATCAAGGAACACCAGGACGGGAGGGCAAGAAGTGATGCCCACGATACCGATGTAATATGCTGCATCCCGTTTCCAAGAATGAGTGCAGTGGCTATCCTACGATTCGGCTGGTTAGCTTCCCGCACCACTTGGAGCTCTAGCAGTCTCTCTTTTGGCGCGAACTCCCCGACCAAAGCTGCAGCTGGCTCATGTCCCACTAGTTTGGAATGCGACCAAAATTGCGCCGGAACTCCATCCTGGCAGCAACTTCGTTCAATTCCCGCTTGGAAGGAGCACACCTGAGCTGCTGAGTGAACTTCATGGCAATAATTTCAGAGATGTCCTGTATGGCCACGACCGCTGGACAGCACATGGCTAAGTGAGACGACAAACAAGACGTCATTGAACGGATCTCGTGGTAAGAATGCATCAGCGCGAGGTGTGCAGAACCATGCCGAGTCCTTCCCGAACTTTGGTAATTACACGCCCGGGACCCCTGAACATATTAGTCAGGCGAGCGTCAGGGTTGTGCCCGCCTTCCAAATTTTCCTTTCTGTCGAAGCACACCTTTCGAAAAAGAGCGGTTTCTTAGCCTGCAGCTATGGTAGTTCGATTATTCCAAGGAATGCGAGCTGGGGCCTGGCGCAGCTAACGGAGTTACCTGGGCCCTTGACCCTGGAAGGCGCGTAATGCTGCGTAAGGCCTTGGAGTCCAAACGGATGCAACGGCCTTTGGCAGCTTTGTTTTTGTGGGACGGGCCCATCAGCTCCTGCGCAACTAGAGGTCTGCCGATGTGGCACTGCACTCATTGGGTTTAGGGCAGTTTAGGGTTTATTGTGGATGCTCGGCCAGAAGCCAGCAGCGCATGGTCAATAGGATTGCGCGGCCGACAATGTGCAGGAGCGGCTTTCTCTCTGACCCCTGACATCACGGGTCTGGGGACGTAAGAACCCTTTCCAGTGCGCAAGGTTTGCCTTGCACATGTCCTATTGATGCAGATGCCCCCAATCAGCCGATCAGTATCCTTTTGACAGGGTCTCTAGGTAAGCAACCTGCTGCTGATGCTGCCAGGCTGACCAGGTGACCAAGCAGCGGTCGTGCGGCATGTCGGCAGGCCCAAAACCAGCGTGCATTAGGATGCAACTTCCGGGCTCACGTACAACATGCGCCCTCTTGGCTCGTTGGAGTTTACGCAGCTGAAGCTGGATGTGGAGGTCTCACTGTGCGTCGACTGCTCGCCAGCAAGCTTGCTCGCGATGTCGGTGCACTGCAGACCGCTGCACTTGATAAGCCCCCGCTTTACCGGCCTCGTCTCTGATACACTACAGGCCATTGCTCGATGACACTGGCTCGGAAGTGATAGTACCGTGCTTGAGTGGGCTTGATATGCCGAGTTTAGGGTTAAGGGGCCCAGATTATGCGGGGAGATGGGTTATTCGAGCGCGTTGCTTCGTTGCAAAGATACAGAGCACAATACTTGTAGTGCAAAGCATTAGCTGCTGCTCCTGCTTTTTGTTCTACTTCCTTTATCATGCCGCTCAACTGGCTCGTGTGTATGAGAAACCGAGGGCGTGGAAGACGTTGACCTCCTTGAGGAACCGTCACCTGACATTGAGCCCGACGAAGTACGCTGGAGAAGTTCCACTCGAAGGAAGTAGGAAGATCTCCCGATAACCAGGACCCTCCGGGTATTTAGGGTCTAATAGAGGGTATATGGAGGGTCCCGATGAACCTGGACCGGAGGCAAAGAAGCGCCTGCTACCGACGATGACAGAGAGATCGCACCTGTTCGCAAAGCGAAGATCGGAACTCTTAAAGCCGACGCCAAGTCTCTTGCACATCTGCGCACGCATCGTTACCGGAATCCATATTGAGCTTATGCTTGGAAGCGGCTGCGTGCCTGCACATACTCCCTTACATGTGAAGGCATCATCTTGGTGACGCATGGAATCCGCATGGGAGTCGGATGAGCCGTTCTCTTCTCAGGAGAACGCCCTAGTTCGCAAATCCGGTTGGGACTACATGACATGCAAGCCAACAGCTGTCTGCTGCAGCGACAGCAAGTGCACGAAAAGGCCTGCTTGTTGCAGTAGGGTGCCAGTTAATCTTTCGTGCCATGCCAGCGGCTAGCTGAGATGGATTGCATGCGAGCTGATGATGAATGAATTTGCTCTTAGAGTTGTTGTAGCGAGGCCTCTGTACAAGAGCTCTGGCTCCAGCAACAAAAGGAGCATAGCCGCCGCAGCAAGCGCTGATTTCTGCAGCAAGCAGGCAGCTACTTACATTCAGAATGTGGGACCATGTCAGGATCATGCATTATGCGAGATCGCTGGCTCACCGGCACAATTTTCGGAGAATGGGCCATCGCTCATGCCTGTCAGCTGGTCAAACACCCCTGTCACTGGACTCCGGTCTTTGGACATGTCGGTGCCCCCTCACATGCGCACGCAGTCTGAGACTTGATTTCGCCTCGGCGGCACCAATGGTGCTCAGGCTTGCTCCATCTCAGCGTGACAGCTGCACCAGAAACTGTATTTGGCAGCCGCACAAAAGCGTGTGCGACGGCATATCTTTCCACATCAGGCTGGCCTAACAACGACGATGCGGGCAATCGAGAAGCTGTCTGAAGCAGCGAGAGCAAGCGTATGAGAAGGGCAGTTTGTGGCAGCAGAGTGTCCTCTGACGCAAGTCCAAACCTTGGATTACCAAATGGATCCTGAGATGAATCTGTAGGTGCTTGACACCACTGCAGTGACAAAAGAGGACCTACTCAAAAGAAGCCAGCAGCTATTCCAACCGATGTGCAAGTCTGCTCATGCTGTCCTCGCGACAGAATCTTGCTGCACAAGCCTGTTGTCAAAGCCCCGCTCGTAAGAAGAGGATATCTCAGCATTTTGGCAACGCTGGCGCAATGACTTGCCATCGTGGATGCAGAAGCAGTGCTGCACAGACAAGTATGCCTGCAAAGGGGCTTCTGGAGCCAGCTCACGCTGTGCTGCAGAAAAGTTTGCTGCTGTGTCCATCTCACACCTGAGGACTCAAACATCCTTTAGATTCTGAGCAGCTGCGGATGTGCGGACTGCCAGCAAAAACGACCACCGAGAGCGCATTTGCCCGCACAAATCCTGATGGCGAAACTTGCTCTGGCGAAGCCTTCGTGCAAGAACTCTACTTCCAGCATCGAGAGGCCTGCGGCAAAGCTGCGGTCGAATGGCGGACTAGCTGCTGCAGCGAGCGCTAATTTCTGCAGCACATGCGGAGCTATGTCGCTTTGCCATGTGGGACCACGTAAGGATCATGCATCATGCGAGATCGCTGGCTCACCGGCACAATCTTCGGAGAATGGGCCATCGCTCATGCCTGTCAGCTGGTCAAACACCCATCTCACTGGACTTTGGACATGCCGGTGAGCCCACGTTTGTACGCACCTCAGAGCTTGATCGGGCCCCGGCAGCACCTGCTGCTTCCACGCCTCAAAACATGTCTCCAGAAAGGCCGATGGTGCGCTGGCTTGCTCCATCTCATCGTCTCAACTGTGGCAGCAGCACGAAGTTGAGCGCGACCTGCCCACCTCTGATCTCTGCCACATCTGGCCTGACTGTGTTTGTATACTCGACAGCGATCTGCGGCCTGAACCTGTCCCGCGCCGACCGCCAAAGTTCGCCTGGCCCTTTGCAACATGCCGTCAGCCAGTCTTTTCCTCTCAGTGCTTCCTCTTCTGATTCTGGGGTGAGGGCAGAGATCCGTTGCAGCAAGCGAAGCTTGCCACATAGTGCCACGTCAGACGAGAGCGAGAGCGGCAGTTGGTGGGCTTGCCCCAGCCAGACAAGGGCGTGGCGGATCTGGCAACAGCCCCGGGACAGAACTTGGAAGTGTGCCGCGCAGTCAGCGACCTCTCGACACCCTAAAGCATGAAGTCGCGCACGAAGATGATCCTCTGCCCGGCGAGCCCGGGCGATGCCAGGGGTGCCCCTCGGTGCTTAACCTCGTTTCCTCTTCGGAGGGTAGTTCCTCCTCGTTGCTGTCGGGTGCGAAGACCTCGGACGGAGACTAGGGCCGCACAGCGGTATGAAAGAACTTGGCAAGATTGCTGTTGCAGGCTGACAGTGCTACCAGGCTCGCACTTGGTAGGCTTGTCTTGTTGGCGGCAGTTTTGTTCAGGCCCGAGTTTACCCCTCGTGCTCCCAACACGGCCGGAAGGCATGGCGGACACAGCGTCGCTCCGTCGCCTACCAAGGCGTATATCCACACCAGGGGCACCTCTTCGACGCCGACGCTGCCCCTCGTGGTGGCCCAGAACACCTCGGCATTCACAGCTGAGGTCGCGAAGCCCAAGGCTCCGTCGAGGTCGTGCTTTTACACCTCTTCGTCGATGCCCAGCGCCACTGGAATTCGCTGACACCTCGGTCCCTGGCCAGTGGGTCCCAAGCCTCGTCGCGGAGGGGAGGGAGCATCGGAACCCTGGGCGCCCCATCGGGTCTCCTTTGCCCGTTCCTGTTTCACTCACGGCTGGACTGGCAGCAGCATCGCTTGATGCAAGTTCGATGCTCTCGCATGATGGGTTTTGTGCAGTCCGGCACCGGAACCAGCCACAGCCATCCCTGTGCTCCTCACTTCACGCTCATCGCTGAGCACTCAACAGCTGACCTGCACCACCAGGCAGACTTGCAAGATTGTAGGCCCTGGCACTTCGCATTCTCTGAAACGCACGACGAGCTGCTGAAGTACCGCATCGTACAGATACTGGCACTCGCATGACCGCTCGACTGCTGCTTGGAAGGCTGTGGCAATCACACTCACAAGAAGCTTTGCTCCCGACTCCTGCGCCGGGCAGCCCTGCAATTGCAACAACAACGTTGAGTACTCTGGGGTAGCTGCAGGACACAAGTCTTGTCACATCATCTTCGCCCGCCCCGACACGGCTGTGCAGGAGCTGGGTCTGAAGACGAAGTGGCTGTAGCTCCTTGGCGATCAGTTTGTGTGGCCACGAGCGCGCAGCACCGCTCTGTAGACCTTTAAGTTCTTCTGGCGTCTCAGGCAGAACCACGCTCGCTTCGAACTCAAGGCCTCCCATGCTTTCCGCACGGCTGATGTGCATGCACAGAGTACATCAAAGTCGCCATCGGCAACTTGGCGTATAGACTTTCCGCAAGCTCCACAGCCTTCCCAGCCACTCGAGCTATCGACCACGGGAGAGGCAGATCCGAGCTCGGCAAGCAAAGCGTGGAGAGTACCCCACGCAGCGTGAAAGGCAGCTCTTCTACAAGCTGGATGATGCTATCGACTACATGAATGAGATCCTTGCACTGAGCCGCAAAGCAAGGCAAGATGCAAATGTGAACCTCATGAGGCTGGCCGCTTCAACCGAGACCACGCACGATGTGGAACAGATGCTACAGTACCTCACGCATCCCCTGGAAACGGTTCATGGTGTGGACTTGCAAGAGGTTTAAAGGCACCTGGAAGAGTGGAGTCTTCCACTTCAAGAAGCGAGGAGGAGGTCTCAATCCGGTGAGATCACCCTCTTGCCAGCAAAGACGGTTCACACAGTGAAGCCGCCCAGCAGTGGGAGCGACGGTCTGATTAAGCGGAAGACGAGGATTGTCACTTGTGGAACTATGTGAACAGTAGCGTGGAGGTGTACACAGCTTCATGCCCTAAACCTTAAACCCTAAACCCTAAACCCTAAACCGATGATGCAGACCCAGGACGAGCAGATCCGGGCTCAGGCAGCCCAAGTTCAGCAGAAGGCTCACAGCCGTGAAACAAGCCCGGCGCCTGAAGCCATCGGCAGCCCTTCGAGTGTGTGACAAACCACATGTCGTGGGCCGGAGCCAACAAAAATCTGTCATTCGGGGCTCCGACCCACTCATTCTTTTGTCAGATGGAAAACCCGCCTTGGGAGGAAAGATTTCTCAGACACCCTTTGCCTTTCCTTCAGGGCTTCGATCAAGAAACCTCAAACACCGAGGTATAGCCACACTGGTCCGACAAACAAGCACCCGCAACGTGCCAGAGCTGCTAAACACATGCACATGCGCCTCATCCCATGCTGTTAGGTGTGCTGGAAATGGGTGCACACATAACCCTTTACCAACCCGGCGAGCTGCGCTGCCTTTTGCAGCCCTGTACCCTAAACAGCCTGACCGGCAGCACAAGCCAGGTGTCACTTTCGGATGTCGCAAGTCAGAGTTCTTGGGAAACTCGGTGCTTTAGTCAGGGCCTTTCAAAGTACGCCAACAAACGGCGCGATCAACAAAGTGGCATCCCACATTATAATACCCCAAAGTTGGCGTTTGGATATTCCCAGTACCAGTCTGTTGGAATGTAGAGTGGGTCCAAGATCTTTCCTACAGGCTCATACCTAGGCCTTTCGAAGAGGCAGCTTGCTGCACCAAGGTTTCGTAGCCGGCCTATGAGCAAGCTTAAGTATTTCTTCGATTTTTTTCCCACCCGCCCAGCTGACTATGTCGCACCGCAGATTTAGGGTTTGGGGTCCTGGGGTTTTGCTTCAGAGGCCCTCAACCCATCTGCTTCCGGGGGCGGGAAAGCGAAAGTTCTTTCACGGTGAGAAGGGGCGGGCGAGGGAGGGGGGATAGGGTGGAGGGAGTCCGGTGGAGAGGAGGCGGGGGGAGGTGTCCTGCCGTCAAGACAGTAGACATCTTCAACCGCTTTTAAGGCCTTTGTCGAGGGGTCTGCAGGCAATGAGCGAAGACGGAGAAGCAGCGGATGGCTCTGCCCAAAGGCCAATGTGCCAGGCGGGCGTATGCTTTAACAGGGTGCAGCTGTGCTCTAAGTGCAAGCACATTACCTCCGGTCCAAAGATGTGACGGAACTTGGCATGGCAGAGTGCTGGGTAGCGGTGTGACAGTGCGAGCTTTTCACGATTGCGTGCAGTGGCAGCTGGCGCTCGTGCCTGCTGCGACTGGATGCGAAGATCGAACCCACGGCGACAGCAGGAAGAGCAATCTCGTCTTTCTCAATCATGTCGCGACACTGATCTCAAAACGCATTCAGGGAGAAGCTGACAGCAACCTGGCAGGTCGTACGTATGCTCAGCGTAACGGAACTTGGCATGGCAGAGTACTGGGTAGCGGTGTGACCGAGCGAGCTCTTCACGATTGCGTGCAGCTGCAGCTGGCGCTCGCGCCTGCTGCGACTGGACGCGAAAATCGACCCCAGCGCGACAGCAGGAACGGCAATGTCCTCTTTCTCAATCATGTCGCGAAACTGCTCTCAAAGAGACTTCAGGGAGGAGCCGGTAGCAACCTGGCAGCTCCTAGACACCGCCGATGCTCCATCGAAAACGGCTCTGCGTCACGCTTCCACGGCGCGGACACGTTGTGGACACCAGCTGCGAAGGATAAAAACTTAGAGAACGCATAGGCTTGGTGTGTTAGAAACCTTGTCGGAAAGTCCTGGGGTCGGTTGCAGGCGACTTAACACTTGTTGCATGCAAGGGCGAAAGGGTTTACAGTAGAAGCCCAGGAGTTGGAAACCCAATAACCCCAATCCTTAAGAGTAATGTATAAGGAATCCCAGCACTATTTGTCCTTAATCCGGTTTCCAACTTTTTGGGGCTTACTATAATTAGGCTGCACGGATGTTAGCCCCGTGTCAGCTGCTACGAGAGTAAAGAGCTGTGCAGAGCGAAACTGTCCCAGCGACAGTGAAATTATAAGGCCTCCTCTGAAGCGCATACTTGGAGTCAGGTCTGCTTTCTCAACTCATATATCTTTCTGCTTTAGTAGGTCTGTACATATCTGTACTTTGTATGACATTAAGGATCCTAGACAGCCCACACTGCCGAAGCTGCATGCTGATGCCCGTGCGTGAAAGGTCCACACCTTTCTGCAAAGGGGCTATGGGAGCTTTGGGGGCACACTTTGGCTTCTTTGCCAAACTCTCCGCGTGGCTTTTGAAGGCTTCTAGCTCGTACCCCAGCCGTCCCACGCTGTCACGTGCTGGCTGCAAAAAACAGTTGCACGAGGATTTCCGAGCCAATGAAGCATGCTTTCAAGATCTCTCAAGCCAGGCAGGGCACAACTAGGTAAACTGACGCGTCATGCGGGGCACTACTTGCTAGGACAGGTTCGACCAGTCGTTGCCTCTCCGGGTGCTCACTTGTCCGCGACAGTGGTGTCATCCCAAACGTCAGAGAGCCCGGCAAGGGAAGGGTGACAGCACCAACTAGCCCTGCGTTGAAGTCGGACTTGTATCCGTTACACAGAACTTCCTCCCAGAGAACATGCGTTGCCGATGGAGAAGCGGAATGTCAGGGCGATGATCGTGCAAGTGGAGATTTCTGGGGAGATGCGACCAAACGGGTTTCTGACAACTTGATGCCTTAGTGAAGCCTGTTGCCTTCAAGAAGGGCACGTCCATCACCTCGCCACTTAAGATGCCCTTCTTGTCACGCCCACCTGGACCGTTCGTTTGGTGCCACAAGTACACTGGAAAGATACGAGCAGCAAGCTCTCGTTGGCAGTGCTCAGCTGGATCGATGCTGCGAAAAAACACGCCCAGAACAGGTGCCACAGCTTCGGGCTCCGCTGCGCCGCAGAGCCATCGAAAGCACAACACTTCCTGGGATCGAAGACCTGAGGCATCCTGAGACCAACAGAAGACCAGCAAAAGGGGCAGGGGCCCACCGAAGCACCTCCACCTTGCCGGGCACATGGATGAGCTACAAGTACCGCAGCGACAGCTCCGAAGAAACCGTTGCAACGGTTGGTGCCGTCGAGTTGGAATGCAGGTGCATGACAGAGTATGAATTTGACAGCAATGCGGATTGGGAGTGCATTCCATCATGTCTATTGCAATCATACCGTTAATTGTTCAACCGCACCGTGCTCGCATCTGCGCACAGCACCTGATGTGCCATCTGAAGCAAGCTCCCAGCTAACTCTGCGTCATTCGCCCGGGAGCTGGTGTGCAAAGCCGCATCGCGCCGCGGCCTTAGAAGAAGGCTGGAGCCAGGGCCTGGCTCGAAACACCCCGGAACCTACCGAGGTGCTTTTTGCGCAAAAGCCCGCGTGTCCGGGCGAAGGGCGGGTGCATCGGCATAGGCCCATGCTTTGGGAATCTTAGAAAATGCGAGAGGTTCCTCTTCTTATTCATGGCACGGCGTCAGGGAATGGAAGTTCACCTCCAACACACAGCGACAGGTGTGCACTAGAGCAGACCGGGTGCCGAGGTCATGTGGGGTCTCATGTATCTCGCGATGGAAGAGGCAGGCTGAGGCTTCGTGATGCTCGAGCCGCAGCTCGGATGCTTCACGCATGGAGACAAAGCGCAAATTACGGAACCTCCAAGGTACTCTGAGGAAGCTTTGTACAAAGCAGTACAAAGAATGATCTGTGCGCGTGTTCTGCGGCACCACAGCACCTTTAAGCACCACATCCCGGAATCAAGCGCGAGCAACTGGAAGGAGTCGTCTGGACTGATTTTCCCATGCCTGTCAGCCGAGTGAAGCTATCCCTGCGAGAATTCAATGCCCGCTACGGCCGCTACGATGCCTGCAAGTCGCGGAAATTGCAACAACAAATCAGATGCTACCATGATTCGGCTGGGGAGCTGTCATGTAAAGCTATAGAGAATCACGCGCCCAGCCAACTCCAAATTCTGTGGCTGCTGTACGAGCAACTTCGCTGGCCGGGCAGCTGCTTAGTGGACTACCCAGTCCAAGCCCAGGCCAGAGGTGTCCACGGAAACCGGCCCTGCCTGTTGCCGGCACTGAGCGCGCATTGAGCAAAGAACTAAGGCAAAGGCGTCGTCCGCCGTCAGATTGAAGAAAAGCTCGGGTTCGAGAGCCTGCAATGATGGAAGGGTCTCCGGTGACGGATACAACATGCAGGAGTCTGACGGGATGGCTTGCAAGCTGCGACATGGTGTGTGAAAGCAATCTTTCAAAGGCCTTGATTCCCGTTGTCGCAGCATAATGTGGCTCCGTGCTGCAAACTTAAAAGTCTCTCGTCTCTGGTGCACGCATAATGCGGCGGTGCTTCGTTGTCAAGGCCTCGCCGCATGTCATCTCGAGAACGAGAGCTTTCAAGCAGAGGCTTTCAAGGCTTCAAGCGCCAACCGACAAAAGCTTCTTTGCACACTCTGCGAAGTCCATGCCCTCCCTTCGACGCTCCTTTCAGGGTGGTCCACCCAAACTGTGTGTTTGCGCATATCTTCGAGCTGTGCACGACCTGGAAAGCTGAGGAGTGGCACCTGCCACGGAGGTCACAGGACTTCTTGGGAAAGATCGTGGTGATCATGCTTAAAATGGCGTCTTGTTCGCGCATGGTGCATCCCAAGCACACGCTAGCTGCATCTGCTGATGCCCCGCCGGAGGGTATGACGGCTCTCTGCAGCTTGGGAGTTTCGAGCACAGTTTCCTGTTGCTATCTGTGACTCTGTTCTGACCGTCGTAGAACATGTTCTGAAGTGGCACTCCCGGCCACCCGACCGCCAGCAAGGAGATCGGATCATTTCCGACAGCTTCTGCGTGATGAGGACGGCTAGGGGACTACACAAGTTCTGGGCTTCGGCGACGAGCCTGCAATGGCTGCAACCTCCACGACGGGAGGCTGCAAGGTGGAATCGACTTTGCGGGAGAGCAAGGCAGCTCTCAGCTCTCACAGCGCATGGCTCTGCGCCGGATAAAAGGAGGTTGGCTGCCTGCAGGTGGCTCCCCCCCATTTGCCGCTAAGACAATGCATCACAAAGTAGCGGTGACAGTTAACAGATCAAGCAGAGCAGGTGCCGTCTGACAGATGCATTGCACAGAATCTCACCGCGTGATGTCTGCTCAAAAGCTCGCCGAAAACTCGAACCCTTGAACACAACACCTCACCTGGCTTGGCAACATTTTGAAGCCTCTGAGAAAGGCGACCGGCAAAATTGGCACTTGCACAGTCACAAAAAAAGCAGTTCAGGCGCGGCTACATGTGCCCCATGCCCGGCACGGACGAGCAGAGGGCTAGCAGTTGCTGTGAGAACGTGCATTCAAGTGCTTCCGGCCTTTGCCGGATTTACTGCCGTTCTGCCACAGCCACTCCGAGGCCCAGGGTAACCTTGGCAGCTGAGGAGCCGGGTGGCTCATGGAATGTCACAACTCGCATCAAAGCCGCAGGCACAGTGAGAAGGTGATCTTCCGATGCAGCTGGCAGAGCTCAGCCGGGATGCTGATGCGTGGCTCAGCTGCTTCGGCTCCACCACATCAGAGCCCATGTCAGCTCACGTGAACCGAATCATATCTGCGCTAGCCGGCAGCCGCGAAACTGCCACAACAAGCTCGGGTTTCATTTCCTGGTGGCAACATGTGGCAACAAGACACCAGGACTAGACCTGTTTTGGCGTGCCCTCGAGAAGCTAATACTTCCCAGCCTGCATCCGGATCACGAACCCTGCCTGCCTCTTGGGCGTCGGGACAGAGAAGCCAAGCCTAGCAGCAAGCGAAGCATCCCCCACAGGCTCCATGATCAGAAAGAATGTTGAACCCCCGAATATGCGACCCGATTCCGTCCAAGCCCCTACAGGATAGGACAGGGAGACAAAACTCTTTCCATCATGTCGAAGCGCCGGGATTCATGCTTGGTCAAGAAATTCACCCTCGGGGCTGAAGACTCGGCACCCTGACACTGCAGACGGAAGGAGCAGACGGCCTTAAGTGAACATCTGGGATGACAGAACTTGAATGCGCCGGGTGGAAACGTTCCCAAGCCCGACACTACTCCCGCAAAAGCCGCCTCAACAGGCATGTGCGTTCGTCACATACTCCTTGACCTGCATGTTGTGCCATCGTTGAGATTGCGCTTGATGTGAGCCGTAGATGCAGGCTGCCCCGTGAATTCGCGCCGAACCATCGGAAACTCGGGGATGCAGGTGAAGCCAGGAGGTAAGTCGTGGGATGAGGCACAAGTTGTCGCCGATGTCATAATGATGTTTCATGCATCCACTTGCCGCGCTCACCAGCTTCGAGCAGAGTAGCCGGAACACACACTTCCACAGCGTCCACGCAGGTTGAAGTCAATCGCAACCGCTGAAAGTACCGATCCCATTCACACACTCCACAGCGAAGCCGAGAAGTCACCATCTTTCGCAGCTTTCGGCCGGACCTCCAGAGCTGAGGGTAGAAAGGCCGAAGGCCAACCCTCCTGGTACGAATGCTGCTCAAGGCGCCCAAGGGTCGGAGGAATCGAAAATGCGACGTTTTTTTGGGAGCGCAGGGAGAGTGTGCTGCCTGACCACATGGGACATCTGGCGACAAACCTTCCTTGTTGCCCTCAGAGTGTTCTTGGACCAGGAGTGCCAGCCTCGTGCGGAAGCAAGGTGGCGGCAGTGACCTCAATCGCCTGAATCAGTGCACCTTTGATCCTGGCGAACAGCGTCAGGGC